TAGCCAAGCGGAAAGTGAATCTTCGCGCTCTCGATTCTCTCTCGGCTCGGTATCAGTCGGAGGGGTCGCGGCCACATTGACACAAATTGCCGCGTCCGTTCTCGTTTCACTTTGTGCGCTCTATGTTACTGTCGGGCTCTCCTCTGCTCTGTTTTATTTATATATCCTCGCTCTTGGTTTGTCAAAAACATATTTTGGACTATAGTGACTATTTGACGAAATGATCTCAAATCTTAAATTGCAACTGTACACGTAAAAAACTTCGACTTGTCTTCGTATAATTTGATAAAGCAACCTCTGAATTTGGCAATAAACGATTTTCAGACATAAAAAATGAGGCAAGAGAACAAACTCGATGCAACTATACGAGTTTGTGGCTGCAAAAAGAAATTTCTCGTACATTGCGAATCTGTTATTTTATCAGAAATCTAAGCCAATAATTATTTTGTTTCCCTATATTCTTCTGTACGATGCTAATTGATCTTTTTTTTTGTCTGTTTCAGGTAAGTCCATGAAATCTTCGAGTTTTCTGTGACATTGATTAAGCAGAGCCCCAAAAGGTCAGATCGTTCTAAAATGTTTTTCATTAGAAATGTCATAAAAAAAAGTACACATCTTTTTAAAACTTTTTTTTCCAATGATTTGAACAACGAGAAGAGGATTTCCTACGAAGTAAGCAAAGGCAGTGCTCAGCTGGAGTAGTTACTGTTGAGCCACAAAGAGCCGTAATAGCGCAATAATCCATCCCAAAGGTAGCTTCAGGCGCCGAGAGATGGGAAAAAGATATTAGCCAAGTTTTCGCTGTCCCTTCGACGGCAATGGTGTCCCAGCGGTACCCATATACATATATAAATGTAGTTGCCACCGTATCCTTTGTGGCCGGATCCGCAAAGTTCCAGTGGACGCGATGAGCACCGTAGATACATATACACAGCGCAGCAACAGGAGCCCGAAGATGCTCTCCCTCCTTTCGGTCGCTAATAGAATCCCGCGGTCTTTTATTTACTCGGTCCCCCGCAACCCTTTGTTTGCTCCTCTACACTAATTTCAGGTCTCTCCCTTTCCCCTTTATTTCACGATTTTGTTTCTCGTCCCTTTTTTCCACCCCCCACCCCCCTTCGTCCCGCAATCGTTTCTCTCGTCCCTTCTCATTCACGTACACGAGGTTCCCCAATGGCGCGACGAGGACACTTTGGCTTGGCGAATCTCGCCCACGGTGTACTGTATTCGGCAAGACAAGGGGAGTAATTCGATTCGGTGGGCGTGACGCGGGAGGATTTCGGTCGTTGCTACCTGTGCGTGCCAGCCACTGTTCTCTAATAGACCGTCCGTCTTTCGAGTCCTGGGCGGTGGTCCTGTCTCTCTTTTTTTTTTTATCTTCTACTTTTATGGCCCTCCTTCATCCAAGTGGAGAACTCAAAGATGCGCGTCGTGGGCATACACAGCGAACAAAAAAATTCAACGTCGTAAAAGATGATTGTGATTTCGTTTTCGAAAATCGAGGATGGATCAGAAATGGATCTCTTTTTACGACATCGTAACCCATTACCGGATTCTCCGTTCCCTCGAGCAGATGCAGCTTTACGACCATACGTAAGACACTCTCCAAGTGGTGTTTGGATAAGACCTCCTTTGAAACGAACCATGTCGCATCGACTGAATATGTTTATTTGTGCCCAGAACTAAGTACCTCTTGGATGAACTAGCGCGTCGTTCGATCCTGGACTTCCTGAATCCCGTGCACGCGCGCAGCCCATTGACGCCCCCGCCATGAGTGTCCCTCGGATTATGCTAAACTCCCTCTCTCTCGAGAGAGAGAGTATAAGGAAGAAATGGAAAAAAGTCCATCGGAGCGCGTGAGTCCAATCATGCTAATATTTCTCTCTGCGGTTTACGCGCTCCGCTACGTAAGTGCAGATTTAAATTCCCCCCGTAACGGGGCTTCCCCGTACGCACGAGCTCGATACTACTTTTCGCGGGAGTACACCGGGCTCTCCTCCTCGGGGCTCGGTCATTTTCCTTCTGTGCGTCGCTCGTTCATTTTCCCCCCCGGTTACGTGCTCTCCATTACCACGGGTGCCCCTTTCACGCGTGACTGCGGTATTTTAATGACCCCTCGCGTAATAGTCCATGGATTTTTACGGCGCTCGATTGAATAACATATCGTGAATGGGAGCGTATATGTATTGAAAAATGGAGCAAAATCGTGTCTCGGTGTAGGTAACCACGGAGGGTTGGGATTGTTACTGCCGAAACAACGGTTTCCCTCATATATACATTAACACGTCGTTATATCGGTACCCAAACCGCGGAGATAAAGATCGATCGCGATCCATAAAACATCCGACACACCCACCCCTGTCCACCGCAAATTTCTAATTATTAGCGGGTCGGATGAGCGGTGCACTGCCACGATCTGGCGATAAAATTTTGCATTTCCCCCCTGGTCTCGCGGGTCAATGGGAAAGGGATTAGAAACGGTACACGTGGTCTTCGTGACTCCGCAATCATGTACCCACACCACTGCATCCGAGGCTGGATCGTCCGGGAGGGCGATAATGAGAAAGCTTCGTCCATCGGTGGCTGCGTTTCGCTTATTAAGAGCTCAAGGTGCTCGACAGCTGGGCTAATGAGTGGAGATCGAGGGGAGGAGAAGGGAAGAAAGATCCGGTGTTATGAGACATCGGTGATGATAATCGGTAGTGCACGGAGTGAGGGATTTATGGTTGGGATGTGCATCTGACCGTAGTGCCATCAATTATCTTTTTATAAAAAAAAAAAAATAAAAAAAAACACGTGTGTATTGTAAAATTGATGGTGTGACGATCTCTCGGTTACAAGCACTTTACACAGGAAAACAAAAAAAGGAATATCTTAAGGTCCACACGACCGATCCGCTAGAACATTCATTTGGTATTCTCAAGTACTGCAAAAACTGAATCTGGTGCGAGTGCACGTTATCTTATAGTGCGCGACACAGGCTGACAATCGAATAGGACCTGGGTCACGCTTGGGAGCCCGCTAGTATGTAGATTCGCGGCCACGCCTCGAAAAATTACTCCAGCAGTCGTGTGCTAAATTTTGGTTGTAGCTCAGTATAATGTACAATGTGTGTTAAATGATTTTTTTTTTTTTTTTCAAACGATACAGTATTACCGCTTGGGCATACGTAAGCTCGACTAAATAAACTCGATTATGCATCTCGACACTCGGCTTTTTTTAGTTGAGACATTACAGTATCAAGTTTTCATTGGTTGTATATGTTGTGCAATAATTCATCTATAAAATCTTTGATACCGTCCAACGAGTAAAACAAGAGTTTTCCTCGCCCTGCGACGTCGATGATTATTAATCTTGGTGGGTTTCAACACTACCCCTTGTCCCCTTTTTTTTTATTCCTTAATCGGTGGCAATAGGCTCCTGAAATTATAATTTTAAATATCGTCTCATCGCCTCTCTGCGATAGCCTGACGTTTATCGCGTGTACCTACAGGTGTATGGCGCAGGGTGGTTGTGAATCACTTATTTAAGGAAGATGAGATTTTTTTTCTGAAAGTACAGGTTACCCGGATAATGCATGTATCAATCTATTAAAGTATTTAAAAAAACAGTCGTTTGTGAGGCAAAGGCTACATTCTTAGAACATTAAAATTTTTCTCTGTACTGTTTGGATTGAGAGAAAAGCTCTCTGAAAACCGGTGAAACTTTGCTTGTTAACCGCAATTAACGGTACAAAATTCACATTCGATAACTAATTTTTTTTATTACCATTATTTTTCATCATTATCACTGTTATTTTAATGAACCCTTAGTACACAATCTACGGACGTACTCTGCAATAATTGCAAAACACGTCGCGTAAAGATAACCAACTGGAAAGGACGTACCGTTATAAAACGTTGAAGATACGATAATAGCTGTACCTGAATACGCGTTAAAGTAGAGATGACGATTGTCACTGAAACTTGAAAAAGTTTGCATAGCCGCGTAAGTGACTGTCAGGGCAATTAGATTTGCGTTTTCTATGTCGAGGAAAAACGTATGTTCCTCCCGCTCGGTACTACTATGGCGCTATAAAACGTCATCAAACATCTTATCCTTCGAGTGCCTCCGTTAGGTGTATTAACAGGGGTACGCTAAAAATAAACCCTCTATCCCTTTTTCTATCTTCCTTTTTTTTTCATGGAGCGCGAGCAGGCGTCGAGTCGTGAGAAAAAGAACTGGGCAATTTGACGTCACCCCCTCGACATGAGTTCCGTTTTTCTTCCACCTCCTCTTGGGTCCTCCACGACGACGCACGCCATGCAAACACGTGGTCGTAATAAGCGTTTTTTTTCGTCTGTCTGTTTAGTAGTTGGTCGTGGGAGGACCAGATGAAATTTCGGGGAGATGTTTCTTAACCCCTTGCTTCTTTTTTAATGTCGTCGAATGATTAATGTTCGTAAAAAAATTATCGAGATGTATTTTTTTCGGTCATTCATTTAACAATTTTTTTTTACATTATTAGGTAATGGTAATTCATAGTAATAATTACAAAATATTAATCCCTGTTTTGATGATAATTTATTTTTGTTTGACTATAGACATTTACAGTTATTTTTATCAATTTAAAGGTTTTTATGTAAATTTTATGCCATTTTCCTGAATTCATTTTCACACTCTACTTTAAAACGTGTACGATAATAATAATAATAACATTACGGTTGCTACAAGTTTAACATCTGAGTGTTTAATCATCTTTAATAGCAGAAAAAAAAATTAATTGAGAAGATAGGATGACGTTACGTATTACATTGATAAGGCGTATTTTCTGATAACATTTAATATGATGGGCAAGAAAATTTCAGTTAACCTTCAATTTGATCTAACAAAATATGCCGACTTCCTTATTCTATTATACATTCATTTTCTGTTATTATGCACATTCCTTACTAATATTCTGATAAGTAATTCTTTAAATAAGACCGACTGGTGACATTTAAGTGCAATAAAACCTACTGGAAGTTGTCACTTGAATTTTTGCATTGTCTCTTAATCTTGGTATTATTGTAAAACATATTTTTTATAATTATTTTATCATGAATCCCACGCAAATATTTTTCATTTTATTTGTTCTATTTTTCGCAACTGTTTGTAAAGCTGACGATACTAGTGACAACAGAGGTGGTATTTTTTAAATATGATATTATTTTTCTCTGCTTTTAAACAATTANTTTAAGTTTGGCCAAACTTGCGCAAAAGTTCATGTGGTCAACGTTTGGCCAAGCTTGGGCAATGAGAAAATCCCAAACTTGGATTTTTGTTGGAATATTTGACTCAAGTTTAGCAAATGTTCATCCAAACGTCTAAAACATTAATTTGTTGCGTCAGGTATTTTTCGCAACTGTTTGTAAAGCTGACGATACTAGTGACAACAGAGGTGGTATTTTTTAAATATGATATTATTTTTCTCTGCTTTTAAACAATTATTTATTTCGAGTCAACAAAATTATCGTCATAACTTTACTATTCATTCCAGGTCTTTTGGACGATATATTGAAAATTCTGAGCACAGTTCAAGATTTATTGAAAAGCATTTTAAATAATTAATAGAGTACTAATGTAAAGACGTATTTCAAAAAATGAATAAATGAACCAACTTTTTAAAGACTAATGTGATGTATTATTTTCTACTTTTAATCTTAAGAAAAATTAAAATAGAATTAATCAAAATCACAGTTATTAAACAATTATTACAACATATTTATATTTATTAAAGTAATTTTATGGTTGGGATGTGCATCTGACCGTAGTGCCATCAATTATCTTTTTATAAAAAAAAAAAAATAAAAAAAAACACGTGTGTATTGTAAAANCTATAAAATTTCACGTCTTTGTTTTTTTTAATCTAATTAATATCATTATACAAAAACGTATAACTGGATACGTATATCTGCGTTTGACCTTCAATTATCTATGAAAACCCTTATCACTTATTACTGATTGCTAATTTTCTTTCATGCTTATCTGGACAGTATAATGCTACATAAGTATTGAAATTACATGATCAACTTGGGGCAATAAAGAAAATTTGTTTCAGTAACTAACTGACTGTGCTAGTGGAAGTTGTAAATTTTTCAAGATGGAGAGAACGTACATATTCTTTTTTCTACTTATTTTAATGCTTGCAACTGCAACCGAAGCCCAGAATCCATTAAGTATTTAACTATTATTTTCTATATTTTTTCAAACTAGACACACCCTAAAATTCAAAATATCAGTATTACGTCAGTAAAATAAAAATATTTTTCATTTATTTAGAAATTCTAGACGAATTAAGAAACCTAGCGAATGAACTTGTCCAATTTTTGGGAGATTTGGGCCAGCAACTGGGAATATCATCGTAATCTCGTGCTCATTGACTTCAAACCATATCCAGCTGTATTATTTCAATAATGAGAAATCAGAAGTTGTTAGCATATTTGTAGTAATGTATAGTTTCAATAAATCATTGATATTCTAAAAAATCAGCCATAGAACATGTATTTGTACTATTTTGTATTCCTATTGTAAATCAATGTTTCTTTTTTTTTCTACAACCATCAAAAAGGCTCTCAAGACACGTCCGCCCAACTTCTTCATCGGCACTTCAAACGCCCCACCAGACTTACGTTAGTTCACGCCTCGTTACTCAAACATCTCCGACAAGCTGTCCCGGTCTCTCCTCCAACGCGTACCCAACGCATACAAGTAAGGTATCAAGAAGCAATTAGCTTATCAATGAGCCAACCCCAAAGATCGTAACTCTACGTGCCCCCGCCCCAAAATAAACTCTTGCCTCCTTCTCTCATTACCGCTCTCTCCGCGCACGATTAAGCCTTTGTACGAGAGAGAAAGAGAGTGAGGGAGAACCGAGTCAAGTCGTGAGAAAGTTTGCTGCTCGACAATTTGACGCAACGACGTCGAGATCAGTCCTTCCTTTTTTTTCCTCCCGTTTATTTTCTTCCGTTTGTGCAAGCGCGGGCCCCTCCGCCAGCATGTGGTGAAATTTTTTTGCCCCGCGTTTGCTTGGCTAACATGTGTATAGGTATGTGTCTCGTAAGATGTTGTTAAGGTCACAGGGCATTGGGTCTTGTATGCGATGAGAGCAAAATTTTTTTGTCTTCTGCCGTTGGTTTGATTTTCCTAGAGAGAATTAAGTAATTATTGAAATAATATTTTTTAGATATTTTGTATCGTCATTCTTCTCACTTTGCTTCATGAGGAACAACAACAACAAAAAATTACACATGTCGAGCAGCAAAAACAGGCCGCATATGTCACTGTGCACGTGTATCCGTAGTCGTAATCGCCATTTTGTAATTTCCTCTTTTCAACAGAAACACCAAAAATAAAAATAAAAGTACAGTTCCTTACATTACAGTGGTAAGTATCACGTAGACTCGTAATAGTCGCCTACGCTGGCAACATTCAATTATTTTTTGGGTTCCTTAAAATTGTTACATTGTCTCATTTTTTTTGTGTACCATATAATAAATACACGCCTATGGCGCATTACTGGCTTTTTACTCGCACAGAGTCAACCAAATGCGGTTAAATCTTTGTTCCCTCGTTCCTTTGAACCGAAAGCGTAACCCTGTGCATGATCATTTGGTAATTGCCGACTTTGTTCTTTATTCCTCAAAAGCTTTCGTACTCACGCCCCAACTAATTTTAAACTCATCCTCAAAGTAAAAAGCTATTGCTCCCTCGCTAAGGTGACTCGAACAATTAAATAAATTACAGGCAGTGACTCGTTTACAATTGCGACATGTTTTCGTTGTCATCGAAATGGAATAAACAACTACGAACATGAAAAAAAAAAAAATAAATAAATAAAAATAAGCGACCTCCGTGCAACATACTTTCTTTGTCACTCTGCGACTCAAACCGCACGAAGTACGAACTCTGTCTCTGTCTGTCTCTGTCTCTGTCTCTCCTGCTTGCAAGACGCAAATGCATCTCTTTCCTCCCAACACATCCCTCCCCCTGCTCCGGCATCCTTCGCTCGCAGAGTGTTGTCTTTCAAAGCCGCAGCCCATGGGAACAATTCCCCATGGCTCGCCTTCCTCTCTTTTTTGGCCTTATTTTTCGCCCCGCGTCGCTCGCGTATCCATTTCAGGGAGGCTGTGGGCGCACTCGGCACACATACACACACATACCCACTCTCGCTCCGATGATGCATTGACTTCTCCCTCGCCACTCGACTCCGTTCAGCGATTCTCGTTTTCACGCTCGTTTGTTTTGCCTTTGCATAACGATGATCATTTTCGAGGCTGCGGCCCAGAAAGAGAGTTGGTTGTCCCCCGTTGAGGCTCCGCAGCGCCTGGTGGCTCTCGAGAGAGTTGTGTGCTCCGATGGAGCGATCGAGGCTATTCCAAACGGAGAAGGCGCTCGTCGTTTCTCCTCCTCGGCATCACGTATTGGGAATTCGAGTGGTGATCTTAAGAACTTGCAGCCGGGCCCTGTATCTCACGTTCGTTGGCTCATGTATATAGAGAAAATCAGTCGAGCTCTCGGGTTATTTTCCCTCGGTATTTTGGTAATTTCCATTCGGTATATCAAACAAACTTATCGCCTAGCGTTACTCATTCATCCACCGATACAGATTGTCACCCACCTTTTGCGGTACTTCACCCTTGAACAAAGCGCAGATATTTCGGAGAGGGGGAGAGAGAGAGACAAAAGCACGATATGACGAGCCAGTCTCCGGCTGGTACACGCGAGTACACGTATACACGTACAGGCAAACTCCTCCGTGTAACCTTCCCACGTGGATAATGTGACCGCTGGTGCGGGCTCGGTGTCGCCACCCCATAGTGCACTTCAACCCACAGCGGGGCAGGCGCTCCCTCCTTCCGTATCCTCGGGGGAGTATAATATGCTATCGGGTTGCAAGGAGCGTTGAGTGTTTGTCCCTCATTAGCTCCGCCTGCCTCTAATTAGATCACCCCGTCACCTGGACTATACTCGGCAACCCGTTCGTTTATACGCATCCCGGATTTAGACTCGTTTGTTTCCTCGATGCTGGGAAAAGGGAAGATTGATTTGGGCGCCGAGTGCGAGGGTGAATTTGAGGAAGACGGTGATTTGTTTTTCGGGGCTGCGCCGTGGGACTTGCGTCGAGGGAAAAGGGGTTCGGGAGACTCTTGGGAAAGCGCGGCTTTCCTTTTGTCTTTCAGAGTAATGGTTGGGAATTTTTTCTTTTTTTTTTTTTTTTTTTTTTTTCTTTTTAGTGTGATGGCTGTTACGGTTTGATCGAGGGACAAAGCGTCATTGCTCGAGTTTTCAAATGTCTTTGTCCTGTTCCAAAGTATTTAAATTATTTTGGCAATTTCAATTGGTAGGTTCTTCATCGTATATTTCCTATTTATTTTCTTGGTATTTCAAGATAAAGTTCAAAATTTCGATGAATTCGCTTCTCACCTTTGCTTTTTTTTTTTTTTTTTTTTTTTTTTAAATAAAAGTAAAATTTAATGATTAATAAAATTTTGCTACTTGTTTGTGAGTTATCGAGGTCCATAAATTAAAGTTAACTTAGATTCGACACTTGAACGGAGTCCTGGGATAATTTATTAATCGCGTTAAGCATCAATTAAAATTGTTTAACGTGAGAATTACGTACTTTCGAAAGTCCAAGTGTAGCGTAACGCGCATATTAAAATTTACCATCATAACTCCGTCGCATACCAAACTTACGTAAAACAAAAGCCAATAAATAAAGTAATACGTACTCGTAATTAAATACATACACATTATCTGGAGGTTACAAAATCTTTTGAAAAAATCAATTTAGTATCGTAATATTCATCGTAACCAAGCGAGGTACCGTGGCCGGGTTACGTAAAAAGACCGACCATCGCGGCTACCTGTGTATAATATATTAACGCCCTTTTTACTACCCATCGTATGCATGAATGTATTTTTAAAAAATGCCCGCCAAACTCCATCAACTTTGAAATAAGCAATTTCTCGGTGATTCAATCATTTTTTGTTTTCAAGCCCAGCTACCTAATAGATGATATTCATTTTAAAAGGTGCCCTCGCTCACAAAAAACTCTATCCTCGTAATAACGCGTGCCCTACTCCCTCCCCCCTCTCCTTTTTTTACACTCTCATGCATACAAAGACGAAGATCGACTCGATTTCACTTGTGCCGCTGACGAGATTTACATCGAGGCTAATGCCATTCCATAATTACTTAACGAGAGATTCCTCTTTCTTTCTCTCCTTCGTTGTCTTAATTGCCCAATAATAGGTGCCGCGAGGAGGAGCCCCTGTACAAGCGTATGCACCTACCCTCTCTATCCTCCGTCCCGGTCATTATCGTTCGGACACACCATTTTTCTTTTTTTTTTTTTCTTTTTTTTTTTACCTGTTACAGTTTTTATTTTTTCTTCGGTACTTTCACCGCTTCCAAGTACAATTAAGTCTCAGGTGTACGAGGCGTCTCTTGGGGTGTTACGCAAGTACACTTGGATAAGATTACACCGTCCCTCGCGTGCGTCTATAGAGCTTCGATTCATCGATTGGGCCATGTCGGATATGCCAGTCGATGTGAATTATATGTCAATTGAGTTTACCGTTACTTTGAATCCGATGGACACTCGTGGATCTTTTATTTCCCAGTACCCCCAGATTGCGGCATCGCTGATGGCGACAAATCGAAGATGCAGCGACAAACGCTTCCTAAAGACCATCGGGATACATATTTGAAACAGCGCATCTTCGATCGATTGGCAGAAAGTATCTCCCCACACTCCGTACGTGTATATCATCTACCTTGGCGGGAGAAAACAAGAACCGGGAACGAAAGCCACGAGTATATGGATGATGCGTCGGAAAAGAAAAAATAGGCACAGTGTGTGTTAAGTGGGACCGCGTGCAATGGCCATCAGCTACCGTATACCATCGACACGACGATTGAACGGCATCGCTCCTTGTGTGTGTACATATATACATACGGATGCACGATAGGAGAGTGTTATTTATATTATAAAGGGAGGATCTCGCGGAGTCCATTAACATTCGGCGAGCGGCAAATTACAAGCCGTGAACGCTAATGGAGCCGCTGCCTGCCGTCGTGAGAGAGCAAAGGGGGGAGGGGGAGTAGAGGACCGCCTCGAGCCACCGTCCAGCTTTGGATATTGGGTGGGTGGCAGTGGGAGAGGAGGGAGAAGATCCTCTTTCTTTCTTTCTTCTCCCCAGCTTCCTCGCGCGCCGGCCGCCTTTGTAATGGGAAAGCTGATTACCGGGACGCGCTCGTGCGCCTAATGGGGGCTCGACCAGGCTTCATCCTTCGGACTCGCGTGTATTATTGCTTCTCAATTCATTGATTTTGTTGATTATAATTGTAAACAGCCAAATGCTGCATACATATAGACCCATTGTTGATGAAAAAAAAAAAAAAAACAACTTGTATGCTCACCGTGTT